GAACAGACCAACGTCACCAAGTAAATAAATGTCTGATTGATAGTGACAACACATTTGTCTCCTTGGTTTGGTTTGTTTGGGGTGTGTTTTTAAACAAGGGAGGGAAGGAGCTTGAACTGTAGATCTCCATAATCGTCTACATAGATGGAGTAAGACTCATAGATGAACCTAGACTGATCTTGAGATATTGTTTGGCTGAGTAGTTCTTGGTTACCCATGGATCCCCATATCAAGAATTATTTTTCTTTATTCCTCAAAGTTGACATGAGAGTCATTATTGAATCTTTAACTTTTTTCCTGGGCCAGCGCCCCAGCTTGTGCATTTTATTGGTGTAAAGCTGCAACTGTGTGATCCCTTTGCGTCKGTGATCTCCGTGGCATTTGTGTCATGTACAGCCCCGGCCTTCCGGCACGGGAGCTGAGCAAGTGCCTGATGATTGTGTCTGTGGACAAGGAGCCTTTGGAACGTGGGACAAGTGGTAGGAGTGTTTTTTCTCTCTCAGCTATTGCATGGCAGCTGTTTATTTGGTTATCCTTTGGATAATCATGAACGTTGCACAAGAGGAGTAGTGATATTTGGAAGTACTAATGGAGCTTCTTCCATTACTTCAGACTTCAGGAATACTTCCTCCTAGGGATTTATTATCACTTAGAAAGTGGTCACTCCTGCTTTGTGCTGCTTCATCTTTTCCATGCTCAGACTCCAGTAGCAGAAACAGAACTAGCTGCTATTTTTAACTGAGAAGTTAGTGTTTTCTAAAGGGAATCATTYTTCAGTCTTTGTAAAGTTTTGGAAATGTTTTTCCTCATGATTTGGGATCAAACACCAGCAAAAAATCCCATTTGGCCAGCTCCAATAGTAAGTGCAAAAATAGAACTGTTAACATGATGCRTAGTAGCACTGATAACAGCAGCCATTTCCTTTTTGTGTAATATTAGGAGACTACAAGAAACCCAACAGTGAAACCTATTTTTGAATGGACTGGCATGTTTTAGCACTCCATAGCCCTTCTCACATATGAGGGCCTCCTCCTTTTGCTTTTTAAGGCAGAAAAATATTATTTCCTGACTTGGCAAATACTATAATGAATTCTCTGTGGYTTTGGCAGCAGAGCTGGTGATGAGCCCAGATCATATCAGAAGCCTCGGTCTTTTTAGCCACACATACTGCATCGGTGCACAAGACGTGCTAAGTATGTGCGTGTATTTTTTTGTTGTTGTTTCTCTTTTAATATTAGGAACGCGTCATTTCAGACTTGGGCACAAAACTCTGCAATGAAACATCCTAGTTCCTGTAATATTACATAACTTACGTGCATCTCTGCTAGCTGTTTTGCGGAGATGATGGGCACTGGAGATGATAGGCACTGTTGTCAGTTAACTCCTTCCTTGGTAGCAGTTTTCTGTGCTGTTAGTTGAGAGTTCCTGGTTTCCAGACTCCCTGAGGACCAGTGCTCATGACAGAGCTAACTGAGTTAAACTAATTAAGTTGCCTCTTAGAAATACTTCACATACAATCAAGTGTCAGGGGAAGTTCAGGAAAATATTGGGGCTTTTGTGCTGTGTGCCTGAATTATAATAATTAAACCTTTCACGGCTAGTCTAGCCATTCTCATCCAGTGTTTTCTGAGCTCTGTCATTCCACAAGATCAGTATGAAACTAAGAGTTATAATACTTCATATCTGAGTTCTACAGAGTAGAAGAAAATTGTTGAACCCGTTGGGGCTGTGCTGTGATGTCAGGCTTACCACAACTCTCTGGGATGTTTTTGTGCAGCTCGTTTTTGTTGCTTTTTTTGCCTGATCCTTTTTGACAAGCTTTCTTACTGGCCTTGGTGGTTCTTAAACACTTGCGCTGCATTATTTTCTGATAAAAATCAGTAGTTTCACTCATCTATTAGCTAATCAAGTCAAATATCACAAGTGCAGAATCTCAGTTGCTAAAGGCACAATATAATGCATTGGCAAGCAAGTCTTGGAACAAATTTCAGTTATTTTGGACAAGTCTTCAAAGGAAGGGGAAATTAATACAGGTTAAGGCAAATGGTTATACAGTCCMTTAGATGATCTAGATTATAGGGCTCAACTTCAGAAGGTAACAACATTAAGCATCTAGTTGTAAAAACTTGAAATTTCAAGGTCTTTTCCCCTCTTGTGATAGTAAGAAGAAAAAAAAAAAAAGGCAACCCTTTGTTTTATGTATGTTAGTCTTAACTGCAAAAACTGTCTTTTCCATCTTTTACTCTTAAGAAGGCAGCTTACCTGCAACTGTACAGAAATACAGTCTTTGTGCTGCCAAAACATCATTTGGTCTCCCCAGCTTAGTTCTTTTCCTTTTTCCCTCCCCATCTAAATTCACATTATCTTCGCATTTCCTCAACCTCTGCTCTTCACGATAAGTATCTTAGAAAAAAGCCTGTAGGGAGCACGAGCTGTTTACGTTTGCTGCAGAAACAACAAGCTCTGGCTATAGAGAACAAGCAGGGTGGAGCTGGCGCTTGTTTATGGATTTGGCCTTCCTGCACGCCCGCAGCCCGATTCCCAGTGGTCCCGGCCTTCCTTGTTTTGCGCCGAGCAGGAGCCTGTTATCGTGTCCGCCTGGGCGGCTGTGAGAAACGCGCGGCCGGCCTGGCTCTCCTGGCTCTCGTAGGCCTCGCCTGGCCTTGTCAACAGATTACAGCATTCCGCCTGTCCCGCGAGCCTGCCGTGGCCGGGCTCCCCTGTTGTGCTCCCGGGCAGCGATAAAGTTTGCAGCCTTTTTATGGTCAGGGCCTCCAAGTGACACTTCGTGTTTTCGCGATAAGGAGACAGAGCTTTGGACAGCAAGCGCAGACTTATCTGTAACAGCGAGCTGCGGCTTAGGTCCCTCCACAATGACAGGAACCCCATCTGGAGTGAAGCTTTCCAGAATCTCCAACGGGAGATACTGAGGCRTTTTCCTTCCTCCTGAGTCAAAGCAGAGTTAACCCCATTGTTATTGGAATAAAAATAACTGCCTCCCTGCAGGAAGGATGCAGTTTGCTATTTAACTGAATCTATTGCTTATTTTAAAACTTGGACCCCGGAGCATTCAGATGGACCTGTGATTTTGGCAGGATTACGCATGCAGGGTTTCAGTGGTCTTTCACCCATTGAAAGGGGGCACTAATGAAGCTCCCACGTCGCAATATGTAAAATTGCTATCATGTTATAAATGAGAGAGGCGGTCTAGACAGAAGGCCTTCTGCTGTGCATTTCTTGCAAGACCTTTCCGGTAATACAGACCGCCGTGGGCGTGCTGATGCCGAACGGCGCGTACCGGCGCCGCGTGTCGGGCTTCAGCGCGCGCCGGATTGCCCAGCGTTGACGTCCTCCGTGCCGCGCTTGAGCGGAGCAGCCTGGCAGCCCAGGAGGGACCTCGCGAGCCCGATCCGCAGGCCCTTGTAAGGCCAACTCCGCACACGTGTCCAGCTGATTGGTTCAGCGGCGCCGCTGCCACCGCGACAGGTGCCYGAGGGGGCTCCACCTGTTGCCCCCCCACATGCTGACCCAGGCCTTGCATTTTTGGGGGGGTTCCAGGGAGCGGGTGGCACACGCGGCGCGAGCCAAGTAACCCGAGAAGGAATTACGGCTTCTGGTGACCTGTGATATTCAAGAATTCCAGCCTGCATAATTAGATTGTAGAGGGCCACGTAAAAGCTGCAGTAAAAGGAGGCAGTGTTTTGTGTAGATGTGTAAGCAGTAAGTAAGGTTTTGCATAATTTTTATTAGCCTAGAACTCGGAAGATAGCACTTAAAAAAAAAAAAAAAAAAAAAAGTATATTCATAGTCTAAGATAAAACTTAGATTCATTTGCCCCAGTTATTTACTTATCAGGACTTCGGTGTGTTATGGAACCATGAGCTTGCAAGCCTGTGCACGGAGTTCGGGAGTACAGGTTCCTTATGGTGCCCAGCGTGTCACCTGGTGCATTTCAAATCTTTAACGTCTCTTAAGATCAATAGAGTTCAGATTGTTAGCAGGAAAAAAAAGGCTCCTTAACCATCCTCTCTCCCTCCTCCTTGCCTTTCTAGGTCTCATTGCTGTCTAATGTCATGCTAGTGCTTACCTTTTCAATAATTCTATTGCTGTCCTTTTGAAACATTTTTCTAAAAGTTTTTATAAATGTGTCATTTCTAGATCTTGTTTTATTTTAAATGAAAGCTTGCAAAGTGAGATTTCTAAGTGTGCAGACAAGCTTTATTGCTAGGGGTGTCGATGTGAGTGCTACATCAGAAAACATGAGGGGTCCCAACAAAGTTGTCTCAAGTGAAGTGTTTTTTTTAATTAATCTTTTTAATTGCTGAAGTTTATATTTGGTAACATAAGTCATTTTAGACGGTGATTATGTCATTTTTTAAAAACTTCTATGCATTGTTTGTAATTCTTGTTATTACATATCATAGTGGAAGGACAGGAAAATCCTGCCTCTGTAAACTTGAGATCAAACATTTTACACATTAATATATAGCAATTGTTAAGTCCACTTGGACTTAAGTCCTGTTTCCCAAGGTTTATCTGTACACTCTATAAAAGAGAATAYAAAATGTGGGGTGCTAGTATTTTTACTAATAAAGATCCAGTGAAGAGGGAGATGTCTTTCAGCTACTAGTAATGGCATTAACTCCTTTGCCATAGGTTTGAATATTCTTATTGTCAATCTTATTATCAATCAGAAGTTATCAGGCAACTGAATTCCACCATCCAGAGTCTAAAACCAGTTCCGAATGGAACACTGGAAAGTTGAAATGGTTATTGATTCAGGTTACCCGAGAGATGGCACCTGGGAGAGGCTGTGTCTCTGAATAAACCTTTTCTGTTGGTATACTGTACTATTTGCAAAGATTAGGCTTGTCTGTTGAAAAATGGGGTTTGTCTGTGAAAGTTTCGTGTAGATTCAGTGGCTCTGAATGATTCGGTAGTATACAAACATATTGGCAAGTTAGGATGATTTGTATGTGAATTTTCCAATTGTATTTCAGACCTTAAGAAAGAAAGGCCTTAATGGTTGTGAGAGCCCTGATGCTGACGATTACTTTGAGCACAGTCCACTATCGGAGGACAGATTCAGCAAACTAAATGAAGATAGTGATTTTATTTTCAAGCGAGGCCCTGTAAGTACTTTTATTTTATCTCTACTTTTTATTTGTTGATCCTTTTTATTAACTTCATTATTTAGGCTCTGAACAAGAAGGAACACAGAGGGTGCGACAGCCCGGACCCTGACACTTCATATGTGCTCACGCCACATACAGAAGAAAAATATAAAAAAATTAATGAAGAGTTTGATAATATGATGCGGAATCATAAAATCGCAGTGAGTACTAAAGTATGGTTTGTGCTTTGATTACATGCATGAGAATTTTCACAGTGTTTGCTTATCACAGAGTACCGCAGGAAAGATAAGTAAGTGTAGTGGTTTAAGAAGGCAGTATGTATTTTTATGGGGGAAAATAAGATGCATATTTCATTTTGTTAAAGTACTCTTTCATCTCAAAGGGTAAGAAAGAAGTTGCATCTGTAGCTTCTCCTTTGTACTTAAAGTTTCCTCATGTAATACTTGGATTTACAAGTATTGCAGGCTCATTGTCTGATTCTGCCTAGAATGTTTTTATAGGGGCAGATCCCGTCGTGGAATTTAGCTTGTATCTTGAGGTGATAGTTCATTTACATCTTGTAACTATTTATCTGTCTGTTGATCAAGACTTTACAAAATGTAGCAAGAGGGCAAATAGAATTAGGGTAAATTTTTGATCAGATCAGTGGGATTTTCTGTACCGATGACTGGATTTGCATCTGAGGGAAAAGGAAGGTTTAGTGGAGRGTTCTCTGAAGAGAACTGCTGGGCCCTGGAGACTGGGAAGCTTTGGGATAATAGAAGTTTAAATTTCCTTTTTCTCAGAGATGTGCTTGATGGGATTATTCAAAAAATTTAGTTCTGAGTATTACAGGGGAGCTATTTTATAACAAAAATAGTAGGCCACACCTAGTTTCTTGTTTTTAACACTGCAGATCTTGTAGCAATTAGACACACACAAAAAAAAAAGTCTTGGACAGGTTAATCTGCATAAACCCTAAAGTAATAGAAGTGTGTGTCCCTGAGTAACTCCTGGGTCCTTTAAGTGGCCCTGTTGTTCAGAGCAATAGGTCTATCTCCAGAGAATTAACAGCAAACAAGCAGTCCTGACACCCAGCCTCAGTTCTTTCTGCAARTCTCATTAGTTGGATGAAGCCAATGTCTTTTGATCCTGTTTTGTTTTAAAGCTTTTAATATCTGGCATTTCTGTGCCAAGCACCTTCAGGCTTCATCTCTGTCTAATCTATATCTAAACTCTTCCTTGTTTTTCTGTGGTTTCCATGAACATCCTGAATCCCCTGTGTGGCAACCACTGCAAAAAGGAATGGTCACATTAGTTTTCATTCCGTAGTTTCCTTTTTTTACAGTTTCTAAGTTGTATCTGTAATGGTTCCATTTCCAGTACTTTTGGGTGTTGTGYAAGATGTTTCTTCTGCTCTAGTAGAATCACTACTGTCAAAGGATAGGAATGAGACACAGCACGAACAAGTCAGTCATAACCAAATGAGTACCATAGATGGGCAGGCAGACTTGATTGTAAGGCGGGGTGTGGGGAAAGCTGTCATTTAAGGGTTGTATAGTGAGCCATGTATCAAGAGATGTCCCAACTGCTGACTTCTCTGCATGGTTTTAAGCCTTCTTGTGGTATTTCAAGTTTAGTGTGAATTACTTGACAGTAGRTTGGTTGTTTGTAGTTGAACAGTTTCTTAAAGTAGTTTACCCGTGAGTGTCACTACTGCTTGCTCTTGGTTACACACTGTAAATGATTTGTTAATATTATGTCACTGTATTTCACTATTTTTTCTTCTGTCTGTACAAAATATCAATAATTATTACTAGGATTACTTGAATATGGACACTGTAATTTATGTTGTCAATAAACTCTACCAAATTTTTAACCTTAAACTGCACCTATCATGATTTTGTTTTCAGTAACTTGAGTGTTGTGAAAGAAAATAGTCCCTTTTGTGTCAGAGCTCACTACTGTCAAAGGATAGGAATGAGACAAAGGCCAAAGAAGTTAGTCATAGCCAAATGAGTACCATAGATGGGTAGGCATCTAAGCTTTTGATTCAGTAACAAACATATATACTTCAGAAAAATAGTGGCCTTTTCAATAATGCTGTAAAAATATAATTTAGAAAAATGAAATTTTCAATAATAAAAATGTAGTGATTATCTAACTGAGTTTTGTATAAATGAAGCTCAGAATAATGACAATTGAAATGATTAGATTCAAGTAACTGTCTAAAGATTATGTTTTCTTTTTAGGCTGTGGAAAAATAAAGTTTTAGAGAACAGTAGCAATATTTTAAATTTACAAGGCTATGAGAAGAAAATGCTATTACTAACGTTTTCTTTTGTCTTAACTGTTTTATAATGTGCATGTTGATGCTTTGAAGATGCAATGGTTCATTGATTTGTAAATATGCTTATTTTGTAATGTGAATTAACTGATAAATTTATATTTCTGATTTAGCAAATTAATATGAACATTTTCAATTTTTGTGTGCCAACTGTCGTCAGTATTTTTCAAGCTTATAAGTATTTTTTCTGAAATTGTACACTTAAGTTCACAAAACCAGGCTATACGACAAATGGGTGCTTTATTGTGTACCTGGTGACACAGAGGTTCAAAACTAACATAATTAACTCTTACCCGAGTAAATCTTTTCAAAATATAAAAGTGTATTTTTACAGTGTGCTATTTCTGTAAAAACAGTTAACACTAACACTGCTGTCTTGTATMTGTTTCTGCCTCCTCTCCTGCAGCCTGGCTTGCCTGCGCAGAACTTCTCGATGTCAGTTACAGTTCCAGTCTCCAATCCCAACACTTTAACCTACAGTAATCCAGGGAGCTCTCTTGTATCCCCATCTCTGGCCGCCAGCTCGTCGTTGACGGACACGACCATGCTGTCCCCACCGCAGACCACGCTGCATCGGAACGTGTCACCCGGGGCTCCCCAGAGACCACCGAGCACTGGCAACGCAGGTAGGACTTCAGAACTGCCATCCTTCTGCCTTTTTACCTTCCCTTTACACTCTTTTGAATGCATCTTATACTTTGTTTTCATTCAAAACCAAAATAATAGCAACAACAAAACTTTTAATGGTATTTTTTAACGTATATAATCTTGAAATATGAAACATATGTACACTAATGAACATTATTTAGTTTAATCGTATGGCTTTTCAATTATTAGGTGGAATGCTGGGAACAACTGACCTTGCAGTGCCAAATGGAGCTGGTACCAGTCCAGTTGGTAAGTGCTGTGTTGTCTTTTGTTGAACAATAGTGATTATGGTTTGTACTCTCATTTAAAAGTGATTGTTGAATCTTTTCAAAAATGGGCTCATGGGAGAAAAAGATAATAATGTTTTGTGTTTTCTTGCCTTTTTTGGTTTTTGTTGCTGCTTGAGTCTAGCAAACTCTTATCAGATATTTAACTTCTGCCATGCCTGTTTCACTTGAGTAATATTTGCGTTTTTATTGTTACTGTTTTCAGTAACTTGTTGCTTTTGAGTTTGTGTTTCTCTAAAAATATCACTTTTTGTGATGTTTTGCTTGCCAAATTTATTAATTTGTATAAAATTCACTGCACTTAATCATTACACTAAAGACAACTGAGTTAGGTTTTCAAACATGTCTGTCCTCAGATCTGAATTTGTGGTACTGCTTATGGTGCAGTCAAAACGAAATGGAGAAAATACAGGCTATGTAGTTTGAATAGCCATGTGCATCTCACTAATTGATTTCTGGAAGTTAGAGTGAAAGGAATAATGCTTGGAAGGCAATATCTAGATGCACTGTTAATTTCGAAAGCTGGTCAGCATTTCACTCAAATTAGGGGCTTGCAACAAAAAAAAACTCACAGTCTTTTCTTGGCCTCCAGTGAGCAGTTCCCATTTTTTTTTTTCAATTAAATAATATTTTGTCTCATCTATACCAAATTATTCAGAGAGGAGGCAGCCCCTTGGATTTATCATATCACAGAAGGACCAACTGACACTGTCAACCCGTCTCCTTTAGTTGTCTTTCATCTCTTGAGATGTCTTGGCAACTAAAGATGAATTTTAGAAATGCACGTAGCTCTCCTCAGCCTGTGTCTATAGCAAGGAATTAGAGAAACAATTGCTGGCCATTTGGAATTTGATCATGTAATGGGACAGCTGGGGAAAAAGCTCTTTTGCAAGTAAACTCCAAGTTGATGGAGTTTATGAATAAAAAATGCTGTAACTAGGAGCCTTCAAGCACCGAGTTGACTCTATCCACTCAGACTATGTGCAGAAAAGATGTTGAATATTAATGTGTGGCTTTCATTAGGTAAGCAATATTTTAAATGGAAGAAACTTCCTCAGTGAGGGGGAGGGAAAACAGATGAGTATTTTTAGAAACTCTGAAGGTCATATATTGATTTCTATAGTATTTCCAAAGTCAGATTATGTAAGTTTATTATCAGAGCATTTCAGGCCTTTTCAAAATCAGGTGGTAATAACAGCAATCTCAGGTTTAAGAATCCTTCTATTAATAAGCAAAGAAAACACTTGCTCATGTGTTATTTCTTGAGTGCTATAGAAGATTGACCTATAGAAAAACCCAGTTGCAGCAGTTTGGTGAACATGTTTAATGAGGGAAAATATTTTCCTGCTCTTAATTTATTAATAGCTTATATGAAAAGTCAAAATGCATTTCTTATCTCTTACTTTCCAGATCATACCCAAAACGCTATACTTGTACCCGCTCATTTCTGCAAAGATTTGCATTTAGGTAACAGTTTTGGCTATATGAGTACAGAGTGGAAGATTTAGAAGTAGTACCTTAAGCAAAATCACCTACATAGTTAACACCAAAGTTTCACTTTCTGCTAGAATATGGCAGCTCTGCTTTTAAATATGGTCAGGTTCAGGTGCTTCTCAATTGTGTCCAAGCAACAGCAAGAACCTGCACATAGCTAAACTGAGTAAATCTGCAAACCTGGCAATTCAAGCTTGGCTGAAGTGAGTATGTCAGGTTGTTAATGTCTGCAGAAAGCAATGTTTATAGGCACATTTATTATAGAATTTACTTGGAACTTTTTTTTCTTTTTTAGCTCCTTTTTAAAAAAAAAAAATTCTCAAGAACGATGAATTCTCATGCAGATAGAGTTGTGAAGTGTCAAGTGTTTATTTTGCAGCTCAATTTATAGGAGAAGTGTCAAAGATAGAGATGGAGTACTTGCAATCTAGAGGTATAAATACATGTATTCACAGAGATTCTGCTTTATACAAAGGGGAAAAAAAACCCCAGGAATTACTAAGTTTTGAGCGTTTTCTTCCTTTTCATTAGAAGACGTACGCCTTTAAGTAAAAAATGAGTAAGGTTATCTTGTGTAGTTGAGATGTACCAGCAAAGATAATGCAAAAAAAGCTCATTTTTAGTACATGTGTTTTTCCTACATCTTATGTAATTTGATTGGAATCAATATGGCTTGCTTTAACATTCAATCTGCCAACTGAATATTTTTCTGTTGAAAATAATTTCTAATGAGCAAAAATGTTTGTGCGTTGTGCCGAAGATTGTAGGTAGCTTTTAATGTCTAGGGTAGAAAACTGCAATCATTTTGTAAAAACTTGGAGCTTATTTCACATGCAGCTGTCATAAGTCTGAAAAATTGTTTTTATTTTATAGTATTTTTCAAATTTTAACACATCACTTAAAAGCATCCACCAAATGTTTTTCATTTGGCTGGTATATCAGCTTTGATAAGCATTTGAAATATCCTGCATTATGGCTTACTGCCTTTGCTCCTGAGCTAATTCACTTTTTCTATTAATTAATTAGATATTTTAGAACTAGAATTTTCCTCATGCTGTTGCCCATGGTAAGTGTTAAACTCTACTTAATTTGTGATTGGCATGTAATATCCTTCAGGATACTCACCTACCCCAGCACACGTGCAATTTACTGTTTGTTATCCATACCACCAGGCTCTGAATATGTTTCAGTTACTGCTTTCAAAAGACTGTAGTTAGCCAAAATGTGGTTTCACCTGCTCACGATATCCGCGTATGAGGGAGCACTGCTGTGACTTTGAACAGAAAGGACACTGACTGAACCAGTCGCCTTCAACTGTGTTGTGAAGAGCTCTGCTTCACTATGTTCCAGAAGATTGGACACTACAGCTTAGTTTCCCAGAGGTTTTCAGTGAAGGGCCCTGTTAGTGRAATCCTACCATCCTAAGGGACACTGGGTTTGGAAAAGCTTAAAAGCTCTGCCACTGGTTTGTCCAACTTCTACTTCCTCTTCCACACCTTTCACTTACGATTTAAAACTAGAGTCATGTAAAGTAGCTGGGTTGCAAATTAGAATTATGGTCTTCCTGTGAAGGCTGCACRAAAGCCATAACCCTGATACCTTTAAACTGTGGCGAGTTCCCAAAGTTCTTGTCAGTCCTCGGTGATTTTGAAGGGGTTGTTGCAACTGGAAGTCCTTATGATCTTGCAAGGACGCGGTATTATCTGTCTATACCTATCTTAGTAAAGTTGCTCTTCCAGTCAGTTATGCAGTTTGTGGAGCCAGTTTATCTTCTGGGAAATTATCTTTCCTCTTGTAATTTTACCATCAAGGAGAATAAATAAAGACTTCTTGAGCACTGAGTTTCTCCATTCCTGGGTCATGTCCGCTCTAAAGTCTTTGCTAAGGTTCAAATTTGGAGAACATGAAGTAACTTTAGGATATTTTTGTTTGTGTTTTTTTTTTTTTTTTGGAATAGAAGTGTTTCAACAACTTTGTCTACTGAGCTAGATCCCTACTAAGAACATACAAGCACTGGATCTAGAGCATCTGTGACCTTTTATTATGGTACCCTGATCTCAGGAAGGATTATGCAGGGATGCGATTAACAGTTGTCATTCAACTGTAAGCCGCTTTGTGTATTGGTGGTAAGGAAGTGAAATAGGGTCTGTAAAAGACCATCCCCATTCAGGTTTGTTTTATCTTGAGGGATATGAGCTTGTCTCATTTTGTTTGATTTTCTTCCCATATAAGAAGATAAAATAATCTTTCAGCTTGGTCTTTCCCAAATCTAAGTCAGGTGCCTGATATGCTACAACCCTTAAGTTAGGACACCAGAGACCTTCAATAATAGAAAATTTCTGTGCATTTCTTTCCATTCATGTTATTTCAYTTATGAACTTGGCCTAATGAGAAGTGGTCTATTAACTCTGAAAACCCTACTTCTTAGAGCAGTTTTGCTTGAAAGTGGAGTGATGTTATCAAACATTTGCTTAAGCAATAGACTCTCTTCTTACTGAGCTGCTCTGACTCTCATATTCACTGATCTATCATCTGCATCAGATAAACAGCCTAGCACCCTTGGTGTAAAGGAGTGTCTTAGGAAAGCAGCTGTAATCCTTGARTATGTTCCTACTTCTAGTTATGAGTTTCTGCTGGTACTTACAGCCTGYTGTAATTCATTGGCCACGTTAGTATCTGCCACAGGTAGTCTTACACAAGCCAGAGCTTCTCACTTCTGTGCCTGTACTACAGGGGATTTGACTTAACGGATATATGTTCAAGTGATGCTAAATGCAGTGGACAACAGTCCTTGCTCTRTAACCTCAACAGTCTTGCCCTATAATTCTGCCTTACTCTAATCTTCATGGTTACCCAGGTCAATACATCAGTCAGTGTTTCACCCTCCTCTAAGGAGGACTTGAAAGGTCCCTGAAGAAGCTTGAGAGGAGTCACTTCCAGCCTCCAGCTTCCAAGTTCTGCTCGAGGAAAAGGACTGCTACTGCTGAAAGTGGACTACAGACCAGCTGGCTGACAGAGTGCAAGCTGACCCCTTCTCCTTTTGATAGACATAGACCCAGTTGTCAGCACTTAACCAAGTTTGATCCATCCATCACGATCTGGTTAGATCAGCTCACAGGAAACAACTGGCATGGAAAATTCTCTGGTAGATTTTTTTTTTTTTTTCTTTTTTTAAGCAGGACTTCTGGGAAGCCACAGGTCCACATGAGATCATTTCAGCCCAAGAAGTGCTCTTAAATCTCATATACTGTTATTTGTGTTCTTTTTTTCCAAAATTTCTGGTTTAGAGAAGATAGAATTCTGGCTGGAACTTGCCACGTCCATAACAAACCATTAATCTACCAGCTGGATGAAAGTATTGCGGCATATCTGTCTGTGTGAAGTCATTTAGATAATGTCATCTTGGCCTGATACTGCAGCATATGCCCTCAGGAGCTCTGATAACTGTTAATATATAAATTCTGTCCATCTTTACGTTGGCTTTGCCTAGATTGTATAGAAAGCAATGAGTTGAGCAAGTAATAACCTGTTTGTATTAACTGCGAACGATTATGCTGACAAATGACCTAAAAGGCAGCTAGTAGCTATTCTGTCAGTTTTTCACATACAACTGATTAATGTTTAGGTTTAGAACTATATGGTTTCATTTTAAAATTGRTGCTGTGTTCTCCCCAAAATGTAGCTATAGCAGTTAAGGTATAAAGGAATGCTGTTGTCATACTTCCTTGTAATACTTTTTTTCCACAGTCCTGTAAAAATTTTTTTTTTCAAATAGAATTGATTTCCTATTCCGTGCACATACTGGAACAACGTCGACTTGTTAAAAATTATTTTCAGTTTACGTTGAAATTTCTAAATAATGCAGCTTTTGTCAGGTTATGTGGAGTTATCTGGATAAATATTTATGTACTACGATTGTCATGTTTGCTTTATTTTGTATTGCTTACTTGGTTGCTCGTGATTATTTTCCAAAACTATGTACAACTATTCAGCTTCTCCAAGGTTGAAGCACAAAGAAAGATTAATGGTATCAGTGACACTAATATATTTCTAGAGTTGTAATAAGAACATGGAGTTCTTTCCATCCATGTGTGTTCATTTTTTCAGGTGATGTGATTTATATAGTGAAATATGAGTCTGCCTGACTGATAATTGAATGCTRCATCTTGGACTGCAGGACAATAAATGAGATTAAGCAGTATTAAGTTTCTGAAGGCATTAGTACACAGTTGTTAAAATGGTGGGGATTGAAATATCTTCTTTCCTGAAAAAATATATTACTGTTAAACCAAGTTTTTAACCAAACAAGAAATGGGCTAATGGGCATCAGTGATGCCTTTTTTTTGATGGAATCTCATTAAATTACAATTTTCATCTTTAAAATTACTCCTATAATTGAGGGGTTTTATCATCAACATTGTCAAATTCTGTTTGTCAAATATGTATTTTGAAAATGCTTTAGTAGTTTGTCTTAAATGATTGCAATTTAATAAAACTCTTGTGAGGGAAGTAGATTGAGTAGTTCTAGTTTACACTTGCATACAATTTTAGGTCCTGTTTCCTTCCATTTTTCAATTTGATAATGTTCTTAAACATTAATTGTGTTTGAGGAAGATCTATAGTGAGTGCGATAGAAACAACTTCTGTCTTATACAAAATAGTAAGTGGAATTTATGGGGTTATTAAAGCTTGAGTTTGGCAACCTGCCATGCAGTTGCGTCATCCTGTAATCATTATCTGTTCCTGGCTCATGACCTTACTCTAAGAAAGACTGTGCTTTTAGTTGTCCTTTCAGTCTTCATTAGTAATTTAATTTTCTTATTAGGTCTATAATGGCAAAAATAGGCTTCAAATTTAATGTAAAAATGAATATTCCGCATTTTTTTTTTGCAGCTCTAGTATATGAGTAATAGATATAGGTATGTCAGTATTCCTCATAAAGAACAAACACACAACATCTATCAAAGGGCTGCAGTTTGGTTGGAGTGACATCCCTGGTTTGCTGTATATGACATTTTTGCTTTGCTCATCCTTAAAGCTTTTTCTAAACGCTCATATTTAGTTTAAAAAAAGAGAAATTCTCAGTCTTTTGACAGAGCAAATGCTTTGCCTGTGCTGCTGCCGAGTGATACTGTGCAGAGAAGGCAATGGCAAGAAGTTTGTTGTTTTTGACAGCACCATTAAGAGCATGAAATGTTTCTGAAGGACTGGCAGAGCCTCGTAATAAGGGCTGCAGGAAATGACTGTATTGGGTGTGGAAGCAAGACACTATCCAGATTTAACACATGAGCTACCAAAAAGCTTGAAAACGGGGCAGGAAATGGCATCATAGAATAGATGAAAATACTGTACAGAAGTCCATTGTTTATATAAAAGTGTTATTCTGAGGTTTCAGAAACTACAGCATTGCCGCATGAGTAGTAAAATATTTATTATTTAAAGCAGAGACTATAGTTTTAATAAGATTTTAAAAAGAACAAATGATTTTGATTAAAAACTGAAACATTATTACAGAATAAAATAGTATTGGGTTTATGCTGTTCTCAAATAACTTTTTCTCTCTCCCCTATGTTCCCAAATCCACTTAACTTATACTCTGATACGCTAATACATGAGATTTGACTTGTAATCTGAGGCTGCTGTAGGCTGTTTGTAACTAACGTGTGTTCAGCCTGGCTGTGGCTTTGTTTTATAACATGAGCATTATAATTACTCTGTTTCCATATTCCGTTTTACTTGCTGCTTTTTGCTTTCTTCTGTGCCAACCAAATAAAGCAACCTGGATGCCTGCAGTAGTAATTCACAAATAAACCAAGTCTGTGCTTTTTCTTGCTCTTCTATTCCTTGGTTTGTGTTTTCCTGGAGCTCCTGCAAGTTGGAACACAGGGAATAACAATTGACAAAAAGTTACCAGGTTTCTCCAGGCAAGTAGGAGTCTCGGCAGCTTCACTCTCTGTTCTCAACTCCCAGGAACATTTCCAACCCTTCTAACTAAACTTAACTACCCACCTCAAGGCCTCCCAATAAATTCTGTTGTTCCCTGCTACAGAAYGTTAAAATGAAATATGTTTTTATGGTGATTCTTGTGCTAGAGGAGGAGGAATGCTGACCTAAGAAGCTTTCAGTTGACTTTGTCATTGTATCCTTACTTTCCCACAGGAGCTTTGAGAAAAATGGTAGAATTCTCACAAAGAGGGGAAAAGAAAAAAAACAAAAAGGATTCCCATACCTCTCATACAAAGGCTTTGGGAAAATACTACACTGGAAGAAAAACCCTCCTCCCTCAGCTTTGCAAAACGCAAGGGRTGTATCGGCTTCTCCAAGTATGGTCAGGCTTTGGCACAGTAGGAGATCCAYGAACAAAGTGAGGCCAGAACTTGCACTGCTGACCTTAAACTCGTGAATTTACTGCTCATCCCTATGTGAATGAGGATACTGTGGTTGCTACTTTCAGCTTAGCAAGTTCCACCCACCTTCATTTTTTTCTTTAAAAATATTTAGATTTAGTTTAACTTACCAGAATTTAACTATGGAAAAAAAAAAATGTTAAGAATTATAGCTAAGTTTCTACTTTGTGATATGAAGGTATTTTTAAAGATCTTCATGAAACAGAAATTAAGAAACAAGCTCTATTAATGCTGGGGCAAAGTGATGGCAGATGACCTGTGCAACAAGGTCATCACTGATCAAGGTTGCTTCCTCCTTAGCATCCCAGTGAGTCTGCAGGTTCTCAGCATTTGGGAGCCAGGTACCTTATTAGTACTAATCACCTTTATCAAGTGCTCTACTATCCTACTGTTACATTTCATTGTTCCCCTTTCTTGATGTGATTGCAAAAGCCCTAGAAATTTTGCTATAAATCTCAGAATGTGACACTGACAACTTTAGTTTTACTTTAGTTGCCTTTAAATTAACATGTATTTCATGTAATAAAAGTGGATTGGGCACAGARGCCTATTCAAATTAGAATAATGGTACAAAATTCATGCTCGGGTGGTGCTACAGGCTACTAGATGAGACTTTCACACAGAGTGAACTTTGTGCAATAGTTTTGCCCCTGAAATACAACTATAAAGGCTACTTTCAGAACTGGAATGTTAGTCTAAACAYAATCTCATTATAAATTGTGCTTATTTATACACACATATACACAAGTTCTGTAGTGTGAACCATAGAGTTCAYCTCTCTCCCTTGTAAAATTTCCTCATTTACAACTTTTTTCTTTTTTTGTTGCCTTTTTTTTTTTTTTTTCAATTTGCAGATGAATAAGGTGTGTGTATTTGGGGAATTGTTGCTGTAAATCTGCTAAAAATGCTAGAATGCATCTTTTGAAAAGATTATCTGAAAATATGTTTTAATTAGTTTGATAGGTGCCAGTATGACTTGCTACCAGAAAAAAAAGAATAGCAACACACAGGACCATGTTAGCGTGCCTTTAATTTTTTGTGACCTCTTTTGAGCCCGATCTAAAGCCTGTGCATGGAGCAYAGTGGGCTCTGGCAATCTCAGTGCCTGGAGGCTTTGGCCTGTCTAATTCTCCCTTGGTGAGCATCAGGAGCAAGGGAGAGAAGGACCAGTGTGAAATAAATTGATGGCTGTAGCTGACACAGGTCTGTGCGCAGACCTTGGGATGGATGTTAAGAAAATGGATTTGTTCTCCTCATCCTTGCTAAATATAATAACTGGACAGTGTGTATTTTTGAGACTGAAACGTTGCTAGAGGATAGATCCTGTAATCTTGCAGACACTTGGAGAAGCCTTTGTAGAAGTGGAGGCTTTAGGGGCTGTATTTTGTTCACACAGGCAGCCACGAGCTATAATTCAGGTTCTCCTGGGGCCAAGGGGTGAAGTAGGATACACTTTTTTTGTTAGGTCTGCCTAGAAGAACTTCAAAGAACAGTATAAAATACAGATCATTTTAGAAGTGTTTCTTTGATAATACTGCTTTTTGGATCATTTCTTATTTGTTTGATTATTCTATGCTGCTCCTATTGTGGAAAGCTTGCTGTGGAAAATTTTAGGAATGTATTATTATATCATTGGTCTRTCTGCACTAAATGTTTGCCTTGCTCCTTCTCTTCAGTCTTAAGGTGTGTTTGTTTTTCTTATTTCAGGAAATGGTTTTGTGAACTCTCGAGCTTCACCGAGTCTACTTGGAACTACTGGTGGTGGCAATGGCCTAGGCAAAGTCATGCCCACAAAGTCCCCGCCTCCGCCTGGGGGAGGAAATCTGGGAATGAACAATCGCAAACCGGACCTCCGGGTTGTCATCCCACCCTCCAGCAAGGGGATGATGCCGCCGCTGGTGAGTTAAAACATTCGTTCTGTGGTTGGCTCTAGGTGCAGGGTGACAATGACATGTTCTATTCTCCCATGCAAGAGATACTTGCTGTGCAAATACATACTGTACATTAGAGYAGTAGAAAGGCTTTTGTGTTCAGAGTTTTACTAATAAAAATCTAAGGTGTAAGTGGCTACCTCGGAGAAAGGGCATCTTAAGATAATTTTTAAATACAAAATTTGAATTAAGTGTGGTTAGAGTGCAGTTTTAGACATAGATTTCAGTGTTGTTGCTTTGATTTGTCATCTCTTTAACTTGTTCATCCTGAGAAGTCTGTTGGTCTGTACAGGAATGGTTGATCTTGCTGGTAGCATAGACCATATTAGCGTGATCCACAACACACGTGTATCTCTCTTTCCTCATTTGTAATGTTTGTAGGGTGTGAAATGTGGCTCTCTGGACGTTATGGTCTGCGGAATGCCTTGTTTGACATAGTGCGCAGGAATGTCACCTCTCACGTCCTCTGTTGGACGTCAGGTCTTCAATGAAGACATAAAAGAGTAATGAGGATCGGTTGCAGTCCCTGGGACTAAATATTTATTTACTTTTCAATGCTACCGTGCAGTTTGGCATGTTGGTAGTAATGTTTGTTTAGCCCAGGTTTAACATAGCACACGAGGTTCGTGTCAGGCATGAGGCAACCACACCGCAGAAGCCGGAACAGGTCCGGCGGGAGGAGTTACTCGGTTCTTCCTTTAATTTTGTTGGCCAAATCCTTTGGTCCTATTCTTTCACTGCTATGCAGAATTGCTGAGCATCTGTGTGCTCCTTTTTTCTGTCTATGGAAGGATGAGCCATAACCCAGAGGAGCAGGATATAAGTTGCAGAAGCGCTCGCTCTGTGCAGTTCTTTGTTTTTGAAATACTAGTTTATTACTGGTATTAAAGAACACAAAATCAATCTGAGCAACAGAATGTACAATAAAATTTGGACTAACACTTTTTACATTTTAGGGATTCCTTAAGGGCGTTYAAAAGTATAGAAGATAAAATATACTGACCGTTTTGTAAAGTAAAAATTACTATTTTAAAATTATTAGGAATACATGAAAAGAGGATTTTTATAATATAGTAGGTTTAAAAATAGTAGCTTACAGGACCTGTTTCATTCTCAAGAACAGCGTACGTTTGTTTTTGCCCCTCTGTTTTGAGGAAATTGAAGGGATTTCAGAATAGAGATGACCGGACRGTGTAATGATTGTATGTGAAAACTATTTTGTTACTGAGCTCGATGTTTATTGGACAAGTTGAGCCAGAAACTGATGTGTTCCCTATCTCTGTGTGATGTCAGCGTGTCCTTGTTCTTTCTGGCTCTTTCTGCATTAATTTTGCCACGGTGTGTTTTTTCAATACAGTGTTTTTTATTAATTGATCTGAATTACAGAAAGTATTATACTTGCTAATAGTGTTATTTAAAGAATCAGGTGGCGAATTCACGTTACTAATGAAAATAAGAATCCTGAAGCACAAACGTGACTTTTTCATTTTGGAAAGCAATGCTATTCTTAGTAACTGTGTTATCCCTCTTGTTTGCTGAGTACAGTCGGAGGAGGATGAATTGGAGTTGGTGAGTTTGGGCTCGTGTGTGATGAGAGAGGGCAAGATGCTGAAAAACTTCTTTCACTACAGTTTTTAACTGTAGTTTCATTATATATTTTAAGTATTTCCAGTGTTCCCTTGGTAGCAGACAAAAATACATTTGTTTTATCAAAACCAAAGCCCCACCAATTCAGGCTGACCACACGTCCAAAGTCTAGCATTTTCTATTTGTAAACGTCTATTTTTTTTCTGGGGAAAAAAAAAAACACTTTATTTTTCTTGGAGGGAACATTGGAAAAGAGCCTTACAGAGTAACTGTCCATGTGTATAGGGTACTTATTGACTTTTAGTAAAATACAAATGACCAGTTGTGGACCCCTAAATTRCTGGCATATTTTTAGAAAGTGGCTTCACTCCTGAAGTTCTTCAGATTGTAACACAAGCCCTGCATTACTTCTCTTACTTTCAGGGAGATTACATCATTGCTGGTGAGGTCACCTTTTCAGAGTTTAGAATTATTTCATCCTGCGTGAGATTATCAAACCACAGGGGTGTTCCCTGTTTACCAAAAGAACCACAGAATTGCAAAAGAATAATTCTACCTTTTTTCAGTGGAAAGATATTCTGGTTTGGACAGGAAACCCTTGGGATTTCTATTTTTTTCTATTTTTTTTCCAGAAGGTTTTAACATTTGGCATTCTGTCTGGAAAATAACATAAGGCTAAAATAATTCGTAACTTATTTTTAGAGCCATTTGCAAAATGTTTAGCTGCTGTRGCACGAATCATGCAGAAGGTGCTGCACCAGAGAGTGATTTTTGTAAAGCTACACAGAGGGTTTGCAAAATGGATACCTTGACTTGTTTCTGAACATGGACCTGTTGCTAATATGAGGCTCTAGTTGCATGAAAGCATGGGAAATGTAGAGATTTAGATAAATTYCTTAATAAATGCATGCTATTGTTTGTTTGATTTGTTTTATTAACCATAAACACAAGCAATAAGTTTGCCAAACTAAGGGGAGTTGATTTTAAAAAGCCAGTATTTAAGTTTTTATAATTTTATTGGAATGACTTGCTAATGGAGCAGAGAAAAGCTGCTGTGTCACGCRTATTTTTCTCACTTTTATTGAGGTGTCTGGCTTCCAGTACAAGAAGTTGAACTTAAATAATCACACTAAAAATACCACTGCATGCATGTCAGTGATGGGAACGATGTAAAAYCCTTTGAGTTGAGGTATTGGTAACTGCCAGACTTGCTGTGCACTTTGCAGTGTGAAATGGTGTGACCTAACCAAGACGCTTTGATTTATGGATGCTATATGTGGAGTGGGCCCTCTAGTGCTCACTGTATAGGTGGGCTTGCGAGGCCGGGTAGTGTCTTCCTCAACCCATGGCTCCTAAACACAATAGTAATTAATGCTAGGAAACAGTTCCAGATTGGGCCTGCGGACATCCACGCTGGCGGCTGGAACTAGAAGTGCTCAGGACAGGTAAAGCAGAGCAGTCAGCAGAGTAGCAGAGCGGGGCCCGGGATCTCCCTCGTCCTGCTCTCCTTGGCACCGCTGGGAAGGCGCCGGATGCCTCAAATCTCTCCGGCTGCATCTCCGAGTGCTGGAGACTTTAGGTGCATCGGTGCTCTGCGGGGCTGAGTGTTTAGGAGCTACACTCAGAAATAAATCACGTCAGAAACCCAGCTTTATTAGCCACTCCAAAAAGCAAAAAATCCCTCGGGGAAATCCTTGGTCTGGATTGTTTCCCAGTGTGCTCCTCTAACTTTTCCATTATGCACTAATCCCAACTTTATAGGCTGCCGTCCAAGAAGCCTTTGGAAAAAAGGTCAATCTCTGAAAGACACAAAAATCTGCTTCAATAACATATCTTTATGTGAAATAAACCCAGCCTAGTGGACATTTTCAGAAGTGCATGAGTGATTTAAAAGGATAAATTATGTAGAAAATCCGTGGGAGTCTCTCTTTCACTCTTGGGCTTTTGGACACTGGGAGCTGTGCAGCAGAGCAGGCAGCTCTGTGCCTAAAAAACACCAACATATTTTCCCAGCTGTTATTTACGAGGCTCCCAGGTGAGCTTTCCACAGCACCCACGTAACGTGGCCATCCGGGGATTGTAGCTGATGGGGATTGTAGCCAATCTTAACGAGGTTTATTTTGTATTTGTTTCTTTAACTGAAAAGATACAAGTCCGGGATTGACAGCCCTGAATTCATCTTCACAAGTTTTAGCTTAAATTGAGTAGAGCCATCTCTCTGTACCTGCTCATTGCATTAGTACTATAAAGGAAACCTGTTCTAAATATTGCTCCCTCTTTCAAGGCCAGAGTGGAGAAAAAGTAAAGTACTGTAGATTCTGGAATATTTGTATGGCAGCCCTAAGTGAGAAAAAGTAATAAGGTTCCTTCATTCACTCCAAGTTTGGAAAGCAAATTCTCCCCCAAAAACTGAACAGCTGTATTAGAGCAAATATTTATTTTTCAGAGATAGAAAGTTCCTTTAAAGAAAACATTTGAAATYATTTGAAATGTTGCTTCCTTAATCCCAAATATTTCTGTGAGAATGTAGAAATACAGAGTACRGGGAGGGTAAAGCTTTCTGTGGGTTAATCTACAAGCATGTCTTGTTTAAAAATAAAAATGCAGTGTTGCCTGCTCCTGTCACCATCTGACAAGGCTTTAGCTGTAGAACTGCAGATTTTGAAAGAAAAAGTTTGGAAGTTGCCTTTGTGAATAACAGTGCATTTTGTGGCAGAGTAGCTTCGCTGTCTGGTGACATTCGCCACAATATTTAAGTCAAACCTTTAATATGCAATTTTCTAAGCAGTAAATTTTGTTGAAGGGCTTAATTTGAGTGATGTGTTTGCTACAGATGTTCATTCCAGTACATGGCATATAAAGGCTGTTATTAAAAAGCAGTTCACGCCTACAGTTAGACAGAAAAGATCATCTGAGACAAGAGGTTTAGCTGTTTTTCCTGTCAAAAAGCACAGTTGATCTGGGTGAACCGAAAAGTCATCTGATTTGAAACATATCTGCATTATAATAAGTACTTCCAGTTTCTTAGGAGCCATGGGAACTGCAGGATTATCTCATCACCAAGGTCTTATCAACGCAAAAATTTGAAAGATCCCTCTTTTTCCCTTAATACAGGTGCAGTTAGTGCAGGGGCAGCTAAAACTCTGAAAATCAGATAAGCGCCTGGAAAATGGGAATCTCTCATTTCTGATAGAAGCGCATTTCCCCACGGGCCTTAAATCCTCTTTCTAAAGGACCTTTTAAATCACTTAAGAACTTCTGAAACTTGTAGGGCTGTCCTGTGCTGGGATCCGCATGCAGGGGCGGGGGACACTTGAAATGAAAAATGAATCATACCAGTTCAGCAAGATGAATTTGCTTTAGCTTTTCAAGTGTTTTGTGGAAGAAAATTCAGACAAAAAGGATATGTGTTAAACAGAAATTAGGCAAAGAAACATATATAATAGAATAATAACATGTAATTTTCCATTGTCCTGACTGATATCACAAAATATTGTTATTTCTAATCATTTATAGAACACCCAAAGGATAAATAGTTCTCAGTCTACACAGCCTCTTGCTACCCCTGTGGTGTCTGTGACAACTCCAAGTTTGCCTCCACAGGGACTCGTGTATTCGGCCATGCCTACTGCCTACAACACTGGTGAGTATTGTTTTCCCTAAGTGCCTCAATTTGTCAGATGCACAAAGCTCTTGTGATTCATAAGCCCATAAAATTTGCATTTCTGTGCCACTTCACTTTATTTTCCTATTCAGTTTGGATGAAGGCTCTTACTCATCGAAAAATGAGCTTTTAACATGTAAAATGTGTAAATGTTGAGACTTGCATCAGGAAGAAGCTTTCAATCACTGAGGTTGCACACAGCTGAGTGCAGAGAAAGAGCATGTGCGGAAAGGCAAGGCCTGCAGCAGCCGAGCTATGGGGCTGGGAGCTGAAACGCTCCGGGTTGGTGCCGTAGTTGGTGTTTCAGCTTCAGTTTTGCCCTGCTCAAGTCCAGCAGCACCAAGCAACCAGATTACAGGYGGGGAGGTTCCGTTTACGGAAAGGCCAGATGTACAAACTCAGCAAAGGCCCCTTCTCTTCAGTCACRTTAGGCAGAGTGAGATGGGGAGCTGCTGGAGTTGCCAGGGGGTGCCTGTTGGGAGGTMCTCTGTTACCTTAAAAGCCCCTTAAAACTGCTCTCTGTCCAAGGTGGGTATGATGCAAAGAATTTGGTAGCATTTGATAATGCACACGGAGCTTGGTGAAGCTGAGGAAGAGGAAAAATGGGGTTTGAAACATTTTRGAATAAAAATTAAGCAGTTGTGGAAACAAAGCAATGTTCTTTTTGAGAGGGCAGGGGTGAACTTATCTTGTTTTATGAGCTGTCAAGTGTTCTGTGGGTAGTGAAATCTTAGACTTAACAGTTGGCAGCTGAGATCTTCCCTGCTCTTGACAGAAGGATGGTGGAAAAAAACARGAGGGCATAGGAAGAAACATAAAGAAGAGGGATAGCAAAGGGTTATAGAGCRTGTGTGACTGCTCACGTAGCACCTTTGCTGGTCTAATATTAGTGACCTCATGGTCTTACCCTTGTCTAGAGGCCAGGATACATGCAAAAATGCTGGAGGTTTGTTTAAAATGGCAAGAACGTCACACGCAAGTGTGAAGGCTTGCGTGCGTTTTAGCATTTTGTTTGATCCTTTCTAAGGAAGGAAGCCATCAAAAATCCGTAATTTGGACAGATGGGTATGATAAAGTAATGCCATCCACTGGCAACCATTTTCCCAACAAAAAGACTAGATCTTAGTAACATTTTGGTCCGTTTCATAGCTTTGAAACACTTTTAAAGGTGATCTTTATGACTTGATACAATTACAGGTTTTATGTTTGCAACCATCCTCCTCTTAAACAAAGTCAAATCTTTTTGGTCCTTCTTCCCTTGCCTCCTACTCCGTTTTACRGGCTCATTAACTGGTATTTCTCCCCTTTCAACAATTTTCTGGACTAGTTTGGCCCTGAAATGCTGCCGTAAGAGCTCTTGGTGTGCCTGAGGTTTGTGTTTTGAGAGGGGCTGCTCAGGCATCAGTAATAGGTAGTACACAGTATAAATGGTGCTACCTGCATGTACTAACTGCATTGATAAACTTGCAGACAATCTAAATAATAATGGTGGTTTTGTCATTTTGGGGCAATGCGGCAGCATGCGGTTTGTAGAAACCTGCTTGAGTTTCGGGTTCATCTGCTCACAGTGTAAGTAGTTCTCCAGTGAACAGAAATTGTTTTCTGGAAGCTGTATTAGAAAATAATTAAAAGCAGAGAAGTGTTTGCAGCTTTGTTTTAAAACTTGAAAGAAAAGCSTAAGCGATAATGATAATGTGAAAATAACTTCCCATGTGTGAGGGGAAAGTGAGAACCAGCTAAGCACTAGAGCCGCGCCAGAAATACCACCAGTCACTGCCTGTTGATTAGAAATAGGTGCYGATTTTCTAGGATCCTTCTAAATTGTATTTCTAAATAATACTTTTCCTTTTAATGAAAGCAGTTTTTTGTCCTTGCCTAGAAGTAGAGCTGGGTGCCTGTTGCATAGGGGAGCCCTGAGGGAGGGACGTGGGGGCCTTGGCTGCAGGGCCTGTTTGGGGTCCCCGGCAGCGACTCGGGGCCCTCCCTGCCCACGGCTGCGTCGGGGCTCCGAGTGACTCTGCTGGGACCTGGGAACCGGCCCGAAGAGCCGCGGCCTCCTGCCCGGCCTGGGCAACGAGAGCTGAACCACAGGCTCCCTCTAAGAGCTGTGCAAGAAACACCCTTGTCTTCTAGRGACTTCATTCTTTGTTTTACTTGGGAATCTCCAGCCAGACTAAAATCCTCAGGAAATGGGAACACTGCTTGGCATAGGACTGGTAGATACTGTGCACAGTGTGTTGTACCCACGGGTTTAAAAGACTCCACATAGCAACAAGTGGGTTTCAAGGCAGAAAATTAGCATGGTAATTGGAGATGGCGTCTGTCTGCACGCTTACAAATAAAACAGGTATTTACAGATGTAGATATGTGGATGTACACATGTATAAGAAAACGTATTAACAATTTTTGTTGTTTTTTCCCTCCCTTAGATTACTCCTTGACTAGTGCAGACCTGTCTGCCTTGCAGGGATTTAACTCCCCGGGAATGCTGTCCTTGGGACAGGTATCAGCCTGGCAGCAGCACCACCTGGGCCCCGCAGCCCTCAGCTCTCTTGTGTAAGTAGAACTGTTATTGCGGTCGCAGATCCAGGTGGGAGCTTCTGCACTTCCACTGAGCTCAATAAGCTTCACTGGGAAATACTCCCCACACAAACACTTCCATTTCTTTTCTGTTCCCCGTGTGCATTACCGTTCCTGTTTGCTCATTATTTGCAGGAGCTTTATCTTTAATACCCTGTTTTATCTTCAGTATCCCCTTTGTCAGTTCAGTTCTGCATTTGGGCCAAGAAGCGGGCCTCCTTTCAGGTCCCTTTTCTTACAGAGAAGATACCTACYGCATTATCCTAAATGGCTGGAGATAAGAAGCATTTGTTTGTTTTGTAAATATAGTTGAAACTTTAATTGATGCTTTTTCTTTTCAACTTTGTTTCTTCTTTCACTGAAGTAAGTTGCATTTATTTACATACTCATTTAGAGGGTGTGGAACTGGAAGACCAAACCCCCCCAACAGATGCAGAGATTGTCTGTATATTTTTCCCCCTTTCTCCTGTTGTTTTCTCATTTCTCCCCTTGGTTTTCTTTTCCACAGTAGTGGCAGCCAGCTATCTCAGGGTTCAAATTTATCCATTAATACCAACCAAAACATCAACATAAAATCTGAACCAATTTCACCTCCCCGGGACCGTGTAACTCCCTCTGGGTTCCCGCAACAACAGCAGCAACAGCAGCAGCAGCAGCAGCAGCAGCAACAACCACCCCCGCCGCAGCAGCCGCCGCCGCCGTCCCGGCAGGAACTGGGGCGCTCTCCGGTCGACAGCCTCAGCAGCTCCAGCAGTTCCTACGACGGCAGTGATCGGGAGGACCCCAGGAGCGATTTCCACTCGCCCGTCGTGCTGGGGAGGCCGCCCAACGCGGAGGATCGAGAGAGTCCCTCGGTAAAACGCATGAGGATGGACACGTGGGTGACATAAACCTGCAGGGCTGCCTCTTCAGTTTTGGGTTCTCAAAATGAACTGTCCTGACATATCTAAATTTATAAATAAGGACGTGAAATAAGTATATTTATATGTATATACATACATGCATATATATATCTTCACATGCATATATATGTGCTAGTGTGTGTAGCATACACAAAATCATCAGGCACTTATTACAAACTTCTTGTATAGCTGCAGATGTCCCATGGTAAAAATGTAACAGAACAATCCTATAGGTATTGATCTAGTCTGGCACTTACCTGGACTTGTTGTTTTAATAATATAACCTGTTTTGCAAAGAAACGTTGTACCCGTATTATAATCCTACCACACTAGATTGCAGAAACCAAGAGGGCTCGCCTGTAGTAATGTCCCTGTGTGTTTTATTCAAGCTGTATGGTTACTTGTAGTTAAGAAAATAATGCTTTGTAGCAGCAGAGCAGTAGAAAAGCAGGAAGAAGAAAGCAATACTGTACATAAAATGACCTTTATATTACCCAACCTGGCATGGGTCTCTATTGCAGAGGGTGCATGGAGAAGGGCTGATGCTATAAAAACACAAAAAAACAAAATCTTGTTTTGCACGTGCAAAAAAAAAAAAAAGTATTGGGTCAAAGAAGTGATTTTTTTTAATAAAAGTGAAAGAGAGACATAGAGAAGTCGCATGAATTATTCAGAAAATATTAGCCTAGAAGATAGAACATTAACAAAATAAAATTAATATATTAAGTTATAATTGGAATATGTTTGACAAATTTCTTTTTACGTTCATACCTTTGAAAAATATAGAAACGGATTTTAGCTCATGTATATTTTATATTAAAGAAAACAATACCCTAATGAATTGAAGACTATATATAAAGTTATATACAGTACTTTTGAACACATTCTGCTATGAATTATTTATATAAGCCAAAGCTGTATGTTGTAGCTTTTTTGTAGAGTATAGTTTTATCTTATTTTGACTTTCTAGTTTTTGCTTTCAAAGATGAAAAGGAAAAACTTGCAGGCGGAACCTTGGGGGAAAAATAAGCCATGAACACTTATATGTAAATTTAAATTTGAGCCAAACTCTTTGTGTATATAGCATCTTAAATATATTATCACCTTTGGTGTAAGTACCTATGTATTGTACGTTCACCAGATTAAAAAGTATATTTTTGTGGATTGACGCCAACTTGAAAAAAGGCGAGGTCCTTATTAAGTAGAGTATTCACTGTTTAATATTTACTATTTTGTTAAATATACTGTACTTTCTTTGGATTTTAATTATTATTAATATTATTATCCAGATTTTTCAGAGGGTGTATAAAGGGGTTGTCCCCCTCACTGGTGGTGAATGTGTGCCGTTAAATTGTAATCTCTGTGCTGTATGGTTAAGCTTCATTATACATTTTATATATATGTATATAAATAGCAAAGTGGCAAAAAAAAAAAAATCTGGTGTTAAGTTCATCCTGCATAAATATTAAAAATCTGTTACAACACATTTTAAGGCATCATTTTAAAACTGCCTCTTTTGAGGAGGAAAAAAAAAAAAGTGGAAAAACTTGACCTGATTTCTCATGATAGGGAGCTAACACATATCAAATGAGCACAAAAGGTCGTGTAAGTGGTAAGTGATGGTGTGAACACCCCGGCCCGCAGTACGTGGTTCCTCCGGGCCGCTCCCTTGAAAGCAGCAGGGAGGCCGAGGCCGCCGGAGACGGAACCTGGGACGGGCTCGGTCCGTTCCGGGCTCTTCCCCGGGGCTGCCCCTGGGGCAGGTGTCTGCGCCCCCCGCTGTGGGGTCAGACCCACCAGCCGGGGCTGCGGCCGCGCGTGGCGGCAGCCGCTCCTGGGCCGCGGCCTCCTGCCCACCCGGGCTGCTCCTTCCTGCCGGCAGCCACGCTGGAACCATACACGTYGTACTGCTCTAAGTAAGCTCTAGTTGGGGAAAAGAGATGGGGTTTTTTAACCTCAGCTTACAGTTATCTGCTGTTATGTTTTTTGCTTGGATTTTTAAATTTTTAAACCTGTAATGAAATCACTTGATCCTACCAGTCTTTGTTAGCGGCGGTGCCGCCCGCTCCCTGCTCGGCCACGGCATTGTGGRACCCGCGAGGTTCCAAAGGGATTAAATTCACTTACCACTTCAGAAACCTTTTCTGCTTTGAAAGTTATGTGACTTTTTTCATTATTATGCACATCTATGAACTTTGCTGTACATCCGAGTGGGAGTTCTGCATTCACATTTACTGTCTATTTTCTTGTGTGCCTTATAAGATGGCTTTGCTGACTGTATCACAATAGTCTTTATTGCTATGCAGGTTTTTAAACAGTACTATTACTGTTTTCTTAAAGAAAAAAATATTAAAGGTTAGCATTTATAACAAAATTGTACTAAACAATCCAAAAGAACAATAACGAAAAATCAGTTCTTCAGAATTGATACCGAGACTGTTAATGTGTTGCCCCAAACCCTCAAAGAGACTCAACAGACCAAGTCTTTATGAAGACCTCCCCTGTCAGTGGGAAAAATCTCTTGCCATTAAAGAAATGGGAATTCTGATTTTTAATAACACACAGCTAACTTTGAAATATACTTTTTTTAGAAATTGTAAGAGTGTTTTGTACAAAAAAAAAAGGACATAGCACAGATATTTCAACAATTAAAAAAAATATACTTTTTTAAAGTAAAACAGGTAACACCGACTGATGTTGCAGGGGGCTCCAGCTCTATTTTGAACCCATTCAAGCCTGAAAGACATAAGATTTTCATCTTCTAATGCGACAAATCACCTCTCCATCTCTGAGCTCTCACTGATAGTGTTTAAGAGTACGTTTGTAATCAGGGATTCGTCAGAGAAAAAAAAAATGCTTTAGCCTTTCCTTTTACTTAAAGGACACTAATGCATCAGAAACGTACAAATTACTGTGCGCACAAGAAATACATAGTAAATAAGGAACATGATGACTCCTAGCAATGATCATGGGAAGAAGCTAAATTAGAATGTGAAAGAAAGACTTAACAAATGTAAGCATTTAAATCTTAGTAGAACCTTTCTTCACTTTGCTGTGCAAGAGAACACTGCTTTGCTATATTTAAAATGGCTTTTTTAAAAAGAGATTTATGTATTTGGTAAATGTTTGTAGTCAACAGTTCACAACGAAGCTGTTCACGGTTTAATGATGATAAGCCGTTTGGCGGCACAAGCTGGACTTTGTTGCCATCCTTGAGATGAATCTTTTAAGAAAAAAAAATAAGTTAATCTCAATTTTTTTTCCCTGAATGTGTTGTTTTTTCTTCAATATACAATAAATATTCTAGTGAACTTTTTATCAAATGGTTAAGAAAATGCTAGAGGTTGTTGTAAAATATTTGTATCCTGCATTCACTAAAGTAAAGATACTGGCTTTTACTGTGTACTCAGCCTCTGTGGTGTTTGCAGAGCAGGACACGTCCCCTCGCGTGTCCTCGTCCTGCCCTGCCAGGCCCTGCAGGGGTAACCTGGATGCTGCACCTTGAGGGGGTCTTCTCACGGCGGGAAGGTTCAGTTTAACCAAGGGCACTTCCCAAAGTGCGGCTGCAGCCTCAGCACCAGGAGCCGCGGGCGGCTCCCACCCTCCCGTGCCGAAGGCAGCTCCCTACCTGCTCCTACCTGCTGCCCCTCCGGCAACACCCGGCTCRTCCACAGCTGCCGCCGCTCCTGCTGCTGCTCCAGGGCTGCCTGTTGGGACTAGGAATAAGGAAACAGCCCCCCCAGCCCTGCTTCCTGGGGCAGGATGGGGGGGAGGAGGGACTGGGGAACAAACACCCATGTGGGAGACACACAAAAGAAATGCAGCAAAYGCTGTAGGGTCTCACTTTCCTAGAGGCAGGTTGATGTGTTGTGAGACCGCGATACAGAGCTGTACTATAGAGAGAAMCAAGAGTCTAGGGTGGGTAGCACTTGGGTTTTTATTTCATAGAGCTTAAAAAAAGGTAGTAACTCCCATAAAACAAAGAGGGCTACTGCTCCTTCATAGAAGAAAAAAATATGGTTTGGTTTTCCCTCCCCCAGTAGAGTTATTTTAGGGTTTCTTGTTGCTAAAATTAGGTCCCTCCGCCCCACACACTCCCCTGAGTCCCGAGCACTTTCTAAGGGCTGCAGGACGAACAGGCTCTTTGTGCAACACCGCGCGGTTCCGCTCGCGGGTCTGGCCATGGCTGCCGTGTCCCGCTATACAGCAACCCWCATTCCCAGTCCATGTGTGCCCGGAGCTGCAGGGATCGGACACGCACGGCCACTTACAGCTGTCCAGAAAAGCAAACACAAAAAGAACAAAACCATCCCCGCCCAGCACCTCCACCAGCGGCTCCGCAGAGCGGCACCASTGCCCTCTAGTGCCCCCAGCACCGCTGCTCCCCTTACCTGCTCTCCCTCAGGGCTGCCTGCTTCTGCTTTTCGTTTTTTTCATGTTCCCTTTTTTTTAACAAAAATTGCTTCTCCAAGGGGGACCTGGTTGAACTTTTGGCAAGATGGCAAAAGGGGCATAAGGGAAGCAGAAAACAACTGCTTTAAATGAATTGTCTCTGCCCTCCGGAAAGGAAAAATGGAGGAGACCTGAGAGCAGCCAACTCTATATGTAAGTGTGTCGGTGACACAGTCTCCTCAAGGTTTACTACCTTAACCAGCCAGAGTGGCGCCAAGAGGTGTCAGCTACAAAACACCTGTTTGGCCACAGGAGAGCAATCGTTCCCACACGTGTTGAAGTGGTCTCAGGACCTCATTTTCCCCTCACTTCCAGCAGTGGTCAGCGCCCCCAAAGCTGCCTTGGTCTCTCCCAGCCCCTCAAGAGTTGTTTTTTTTTTTTCAAATGCAACCATCAAACACAAGCTTCACTAGCCCCAGCAACTGCCTCAGTAATGCAGGGTTTGCCGAGACCTTGTAAACTGGAGCCTCCTTAGCAAGTCTCTCAGATACAAACAACGAAACTTAAATCCATAACCAAAATGTGCAGGGCTCGACCTGTACCCTCATGGATTAAAACCACTAAGTTTCCCAAAAAGTGAGGCCTCACATCCTGCATATTACAGAGCAAAGGCCTGACGGTGTCCTCAGCAAATGAGCCCCGTGGCTGCTCCGCCRCCCGTGCCGCTCGCAGCCGCTGCGGCGCGGCTGGAGCCCGGGTTGTGCAGAGACCAACTCTGCCTGCAGGAGCACCCGGAGACCACACACGAGGGCCACCAAGGACACGCCTGGGACCAGCCTGAAAAAAAACAGCTTAAAGGCACCCAAAAGGCACAGCTGGTGAGACGACGGCGCCTTCCTTAGGGCCAGGTTAACACCTGCACCGTGTGCTCCGGTTCGCGGGACAGACCCCCCCACCTTTTTAAGGCAAATATGCCAAAATTGCCATGGGCTACAGAAGATTAAAATGGCAACTCAGAAAAGAAAAAAAACAATCCCCACTTCTACTCCACTCAAAAAAAAAGTACTTTCTCCAAGTGCACACAGCCCCTAACTTGCCAATTGTACAAATACTGTCATCTGTAACACAGCAGCAAGAGGTTCGGATTCTTATGCAGGAGGACTAAGAAATACCTGAAGCCAACAGGAGAATGAACGGCTGCAAAATACTTTCCCTCGACAGGAGGTCACGAATGGAAAGCTGTCTCTCCCTCGACAGGAGGTCACGAATGGAAAGCTGTCTCTCCCTCGACCTTTCTTTGCAAGCAACAAAGCATCCTTATTCTTCCATAGTCACATCACCTCAGGTTCACTTGAGTTCAGGATTACATCATCTACTTAAAAAAAAGGGAAAAAAATAAGGAAAGTCAAATTTCCGGTATCGTTATCCCCCTGGCCGCACCACAGTCAGAGTCGCTGGTTTGTGGACTTCAGTGCTGGCAGGGGAGGCTCTGCTTGGCTTGATCCTCCCTTTTGGGATCTCCTCTGTAACTAAGTTTTGAGGCACTTTCCCTTCTAATCCATCTGCTGAAATGTTTGAGGTCAGTGTTGTGCTGGAGTTAYGGGCCATCGCCCCAGTCCCCTGTGTTTTAAAATAGGTGATATAAAACACGGGCAGGACAACTCCTATGAGGAGCATCACAAAAACGGCGTTCCACCACTGGATGCCGCAGTCGGCGCCGCTGCCGCTGCCCGGCGTCCCCGAGCCCGGCGGCCTCCGCGGCGCTTCGAGGCCGAACTCGGCAYTGAGCTGGGCCTCGGCCTGCGCGGCCTCCTCGATGCTCCTGTCGATGCCTCTGAAATAGTCCTGCAGCTCTGTGCTCTCAGCGCCGGCCTCGGGGATGTCCACGAGCGTTGGGGTGGCCCCGGGGCACACGGGCCCAATGGGCTGCAGCTCCTGGTCCTTCTCTGTCAACAGCCCGTGGTTCTTCACAGGGATCTTGATGGACTTCAGCGCGTATAAATCCTGCTCCCGGATGAAGTTGTTGACACGTTTGATATCTGCAACCTGCAGAATCCGAAAGAATAAGAGCAGATTGGAAAAATCCAGTCTTTTACTGGTATTCAAACAAGAACCATTCAAGAAGCTACGAGGCAAACAGCATCCTGAAAACAAATACAAGCCCTTGGCACAAGTGTCTTAGTATTTGGCGGTCAGAGATTTTCCATTAATTACAGAGATCCCACAGGATCTTAAGGATCCTCTAATAATCCAATTTATAATTTTCTTTCTGCAGTGCCCTCATCTTGCTCCTATGCTATGTTTCTCCTAGCCTTATTTTTCCTTGCTCTTTGCTTCTCGCCTGCTTACCTTCTAAGCTACGGCAAGAAGACTCTTTTACAATGGAATTGTTCTGAAACGTGTTCCGTACCTTAAATGTTCTGTGTTTCAGATGACAATCCCATATGAGCAAGCAAACCCCACAAAGCTCAGCACAGTGTCCCCTTGAAGCCTGTTCTCCTGCTGAAACGCTGCTCTTGGAGAGTGATCCTGGGACAGGGTAGGGAGGCATCGTTCCTGCACCAATGGGACGTTACTCTGCTCACATTCCCAACCACATTCCCGTTAACTGTTGCAACAGGGAGAGAAAAGTCAAGCGGAGCCCAGACTCACCTCGTGGCCTGTCCCCTCCGGTACCAGCCCCGCGGCTCCAGGGTATGCAAGCTCATGAACTGCCCAGTAAATCTACTTGCACTGAGAGCCGTGAGTTTAGAGAGGGGAACATTAATCTAAATTCCTCTGCAGACGGCAGAGGAATMCCTGCTAAAGACATGCTTAAGCCAATAATCCCTGTGGATGTGGGCTCACCTATGGTTTAGTTGTATCAGCACCACCACACAGGGTCCCTACCTGTGAYGGGCACTCCCACCTAGCTTGGTGAGGCAAATAGTGATAAAAACAGCCAGACAGAACAAACTGCAGACAGCACAGACCAGAAAGACAGCTGGCAACAAAAAAGAGGAGGAAAATAGTGTCTTTTATTTAATGTTAAATGGAGAGAAGCCAGTCTATTAACGACGCATATCAGCAGCCGCTGAATAAGTAAGTACATGAGCTTCTCAGTTATCCTAAAATCTCCTATCAAAGAAAGTCTAAGGAACAGTGCTGTCACATGGAGCTCCCAAAGTGAAGGAGACACGAAACATCCTCGAGTAAAGAGCTGGAGGGAAAAAAATGGAGAAAACAGCAGGACTCCAAACCAAGGAGAAGAGCAGCACTACTAGATTATCAGTCTTCTGAATACCACTGAGAAGAGAGGCAAAAATGTCTGCACTTCAGGGAAAATTAGTTTATATTATTTGCACATTCAAGTTTGCGTCTATAAATGAAACTAATGAAATTTAAAAAAAAAAGAAGCAAACAAGTCCTTCCTACACAAAGGCGTGTGTGCCATCGCCTGCAACTTCTTTGCTAGCTCAGGACAAAATGCTACTTTTAACAGACAGCCCGTGAGGGCTGCAGAACAGGACCTAYGGCAAGTCTCAGGTAGCTACTCCAAAAACTCAAATGTCTCCCCTGTCACTGTGGCCAGCGATCACGTGCTGCTGGCAGGCAGAGCTGCCACCTCTCCATGGGCACAGGCAGCCAGCCCTGCCCTGCCACAGCCCTGACGCGCTGCGCCACAACACTGATGAGGGGCAGCAGCCCCACATTCCTCCGGCTCCAGAGCTGGGGCTCCCCGTGGATCCCCCAGAGCCCACACGGGTCAGTGAGATGCTTGGCGAGTCCATCTAAGCAGATCTAAGCAAAAAGGCAGCAAGGCCACGACGTCAGAGAGCAAACCACGGCCCAAGGGGAGCCAAACAGCCCATGTTTACTGTGCAAAGCCTGAGAATCCAAAAACGGAAGGCTGAATCACAATGGATTGAGCATGTCCTTCCAGACCCTACTCAGTGCCCCTTGAAGCTCTCAGCAGCTGGATCACCACAGCCTTATGCCCTGCCCCAGTGTAAGGCCAGSGACTAAGCTCTGCAAAATTATTTAGTTACCAAAGTACAATGTGACCCAAAGTCTCCTGAGGTGGTGCTTCAATTTTTTTGTTCATGTTGTTTTGCTTTTGTTYCAGTGAAAACAGATTATTGGAACAGAAAATATCCCCTGCAGTGTCTGCAGTCAAACACTGTAACATCAGATGAGGCTCTAGAAACAGTAAGTGGAGCAGAGCTCGGGCAAAAGCAATAAACAAAGCTGATGAGAAGAACGCAAGAGCGAGGTTGCAAAAGCTGTTGTGCCTTATTTTTTGTACTCATTTTTGGCTGCAATGAGCTCCTGTTGTCCCAGCTGACAACAGGCCAAAAGGAGATGAGGATTGTAAAGTGATCAAGAGTAAAAATCAGACATTAAAATGCCTTGTTAAAGCTATTCGCTGTACTATCTAGTAGCTCTGCCTAAGYAGCCCCTGGTAGCTCCTAAACTAATGACTCATGATTTCAAAGAGGATGTCACCTGGTTTGGGGGAGGGAGACAAAAAGGATGGCGTGTGTATATTTGTTTTATAAACAACAGAGTGAAACAAAGTCATATATGTTTGCAACTACATGTTTTCCTTGCTAGTGGTTTGCTAGCCTTTCAGGAGCTGCTTAATTGTGCAATCAAACACAAATAAATCAAACTTCATCAGCACTGATAACAGATAAACATGTGAGCATCTGACAGCAGGGATTTCTGTACCTCTGTACCTCATCAATACAAGTCAGCAGGACTTGTTGGAAGGGAAGGAGTTTTTCCTGTGGGAAAAGTGACTAGCTGCTCCCTCCCCATCAGAGGGGAGCAGCCTGGGGACAAGCAGCACAGAATCCTCCTGAGATTACGCTAATAAATGGCAACAGCTGGATTTTTTTCTCTAAAAATAATCAAGCAAGTAATGCAGGCTCTTTCTCCAGCCTGTTCATTAAGCAGGYGAGATCGAGCATAGCTGCCCAGTCTGTGCAGTTGCTGCTACTCCAGGTTAGGCACATAGTTCCTACAGAGTCATCTGCTGCAGCTCCAAGTCCTCACGCTCTACAGGTGCCAATCAAAGCCTATTCCAGCCCTGCTAGACTTGTTTTTTTTTTTCCCCTCACGAGCATCAGACTCACCAGCAGAACTTAAAAGGCTTAAAAAAAAAAAAGGGGGGGGAAGGGAGGGGAGGAGTTGTCACAATTCCTTTAAGTCCTCTTGCTTCAGCTGTGCTGCACAGCTGTGTTATTAAGCAAGACAAACCAGTACTGCGGTTGAGCCAACACCATCCAGGTTTCACCATCCAGGTCACTGTCCCACACTTTGCAACATGGAATTCTAACTGCTAAGCAAGAGGATATTTCTGCTGTTCAGATTGAGTAAGTAAACTTTTCAACTGTTTTTCTACAGAACTTTGGTACAGAGAAAATATCATTTTTTTTTTCACTTTTRCTGTTTCAATTACAGAGAAAACTCACCCTGTGCATGCACTCGTTTTTCCTGCAAAAGACTGGACCACACAGGTTTTTATCAGCACTGCAGGAAAAAAAAACTCCCAGGTGCAAACATGACCTGGACTTTGCCACCTTTCCCTTTAAGTCCACCCTTTTCAAACTCAAACATTCTCTGCAATACCTAAGCTCACACCTTCAATTTGCTTCAAAAACTTGAGTGTGGGACTTATCTCCTTATTTCTGCACTCATTTTCCTACTTTCTGCCTTCATTTAGGTAATAACGAGTGTAAAAACTGTGACTGCCATGCTACATTTAATCATCCAAACCAAACAGAAACCAGGCCACGGAGGGTGTGGGGTTGACTACGTGTCCTTAGATTGTTAATGGTTGTTAATTGAGCTCCTTTGCACCCTCCTCCAGCTTGGTGTTACCCAGGTGCTTATCATTCATGAAATGCACACGAAAGTGCTTTACAGTATTACTCTATTAAACAACAGAAACCCTTCCTGTAACTGGGGGAACAAAAAACGCACATGAAATATTTCTGAAGTCACTGAAGCTAAACAAGCGAACAGGAGAACAGGATTAAGGAGAAAAGCAGCAGAATCTGCGCAGCTGAGCGGGGAGAGCGCCCACCTTGCAGCCGTACTGCAGGGCCAGCTTGTTGAGGCTGTCGTCGTGCGTGACCTCCCGCTGGAGCAGCACCACGTCGCCGAGGGCGCCGCGCGCCGCGCTGCTCCGCGGCTGCTCCCTGCCCCGCGCCCGCAGCTCCGTGGTCACCGTCGCCTCCTCCTCGGACGACTCCTCCGGCTCCAGGGGGCCGCTGTGGAACACGAACACCTGGCTGCCCGCGTGGTTGTGGATGGTGACGGGAGCCTGGAAGGATCTTGCTCGGCTCTCCTTCAGCCTCATCTTTTACAGCAGCACCTGGAACAAAACAAAAAAAAATGAGTGTTTCAGTTTTCCTTAAGTGTTTGACTCTTGGCATGTGAGATCTGGGGAGTGTTTCAGTTTTCCTTAGTGTTTGATTCTTGGCATGTGAAATGCGGGTGCGGACACAGACACGGGGCAGCGTTCGGGGTGCAGAGCAGCGGCTGTTGCACGGGCCCGAGCGCAGGGCAGGGCTCCCAGCGCCCGCACCTCGCCGCACTGGCGGCCCCTGCACGCGGRGCACGCTCCCGGTGCGCGGTTTTGTTGGGTTTCGCCCGCCCACGGACACGCGGGGCCGGCCGCGCGCCCCGAGCTCTCGGTAAGGCCGCGGGGCGGGCGCGAGGGGCCTCGCTGAGCGGGGACACACGCGAGGGACGGGACAAAGGCGCGGGGCGGCGCCACGGAGCCCGCGCGGCCGGAGCCGCTGCGGGACCTGTGCCGGGACCCGCTCTGGGATCCGTCCCGGGATTTGCCCCGGGAGACATCCCCCCCTCTCCCCCCCCCCGCGGGACCGGCGGCGCCGCGGGGTCCCTCGCCCCTCCCCCCAGCACCTCCCTGAGGGGCGCGGGGCCCTCGCGGCGCCGCCAGCCCCGCCGCTGGCGGGAGCCCCCTCCGCCCCGCCCCGCCCGCGCCCCGCGGCCGCCCGGGAGGCCCCCGCTCCCCCCCGCTCCCGGCCTCGTCACCGACCCGCCGCTCTCCGGACCCCGGCCGCACGCACCAACTCGCACCGCCTCACAGGCCCATTGGCTGGCGGCGCCGGGAGGCGGGACTGGCGCGCCGCCCGGCCAATGGGAAGCGTCGCAGGACGCGCCGCAGCGCGGGGGGCGGCGCGGCGGATTTAAAGGGGCCGCGCGCAGCCCGGCCCGGCCGCGCTGTTCACACGGCCCGTGTACCGCACAGGATGGCAACGTATTTCTGATACTTCAAAATTAATAACAAATATGTGCCTATGCTTTTCTATGCTTATTTTGTGTGACACCGGGCACACAGCTGTAGCAAAATACATCCCTACTCAAAATACTTCATTTAAAATCTTTTTCTAATAGACTTTTTCTCCCTCTTCCCCTTTTTTTTTAATGCTTCCATTGGCTGACAGTGTCAAAAGATGCCATGGCTTGGGCTAAAGGCTCGTTTCATTGACTGAGGGAGTAATTTGGTGACACAGTTCTTCCAGAGATGGCATCTCRTGATTTCGAAGGAAAACGAGCTCTTCATACAAGCAAAAAAATATTATTCAGACCTGTATTAACACCTGCCATCAACATACGAGCTGTTACACTGTGCTTTGAAGCAGAAATATTTTCTTGCATATTTTTTACAGGCACCTGCATGCTTGCTGATGTGCTSTGCTGGAAAGTGTGTGTCTTTCCAGCACCTGGATTACTCACCTCAGAATACCAGCGAAACAAGAACTCTCCTGACTTTAGAACATTCTGGGAGGTAATAAGATGCACAGATTTCTGTGCAGTGCTATAGCAGTCGTGATGCCTCTGTTGCAGGTAACTCACAAACGCCGGACTTTGCTCTGGTTTTGCACTGATGTAACTCAGCCAAGTTCAGTGAAGTTACCCCTGTGTTAAAATCAGAAGTACAAGCCAAATCTCACTGCCTGAAGCTCTCCTTGGTGAATGCAGTGACTAATCTTACATGGATACTGTGCATCCATTCAACTGAATCATACATAGAGCAATATATAGTTTGAGACTTAGGTATCACAGGCATGCAATGCAGGGAAAAGAACTTCAGCTAAACTAATTACAGGTATGTACTTAATTGAGCTATGGAGGTTACTCTAATTGCATGTGCGGTAGCACGGAGTTACACCTTGCCTTTTTTAAGAGCCTCTCCTCCTGGAAGCACTTGTCCAACTCAGCAGATCCCAAACATGGCTGTGGACACCTCGGCTGGCCATGGGTCAGGGTCTCGGACTGGAACAAAACATCCTTAGGAAGAAATGGACTGTGCTGCTCTGCTCAACATCTGGAAGGAAGCCCAGAGCCTGTGTCTGCGCCGCTGTGCARGAGCAGCCCTGGCACGTGACTCGCTGCCAGCTTCACACCTCRCCTGCAGGGACGTCCTCGGCTGGGGGCAGCGCAACCTGGATTCACCCAACGCCTTTTGCAAGGATAGATTGTCCAGCAGCTGTCTGGGTGGCTGCAACATGTGGTGGACACCRGGGCACAGGTCCTCTTGGGGTGCAACCCTGCAATGAGAGGTGCATTTGTGAGCCCTCCCTGCCAGGAGGTGAGATGCAAACACCCGCGAGCACACTGCTCCCATGCAGAGCCGCTCGAGCTTCTTCTTCCATTTGCATACATAATCATATATATATGAGGTACATGTAATTTATAATAAAACCTCAGCTTCGTCACTGACCTGCAATTTAGACTCTCGATGACTCCCACCACAAGGGCTATGTTTGCACCGCTCACGCACGCTGGGGCTCTTAAGCTTGAGCTTTTATCTCTGGAACCACAAGTGCAGCTCTAAGCAGCAGTGCCTTCCCCTGGACAAGATAAGACGACTTTGCTCAGAGATCTAGCTCTGTGCTTGGCTTCTGTCACGCAGCACAGCTTGGCGAGGGCTGCCTGGTTTATGTGATAGCAGAGACTGACTGACTTAGGGAAAAACAGAGACTTTTCCTTTATATAAAAACAAACGACACATTAAAAGTGTTTTTAATTTTGGAGTTTGTGTTTTTTTGGGATTGTGCCAAATCGTAGAGACCATATTCCCCACCCTGTCCTTCTGGAGGAATTTGGCTAAGGAACACACCATAAGGCTTGTTCCCTTTCCTTTCCCTTACTCTTAAAATCTTGAATACTAGTAAAATTCACCCCCACCCCTCTTTTTTTTTTTTTTTCA